TCATACCCGTACAACAGGGTTTCTGAATGCCATGTGGTGTAGTTTTTAAATATGTTTCTACTTCCTTGTCTTCCATATATGGAGACACACAAATACGTGGTCTGATTAAGTGGTCTCATGTTACAAGGTCATGACGGATGTTGTCATGTACATGTATAGCCAGGTTGCCTTGAGGTTGTTTATTTTTTCCCTTTCCTTAAGGGAAGGGAGCCTACCACAGCTGAATATATGGATCTAAAGTTCAGAAAGAAGGCACAGGTTTTAAAGCCACTTAGTATGTGAAGTCATGACATTAAAGGAAAGAGTCTTCAGGGACAGGGTAAAATAAGAAGGGAGGGGGTTAAGCCTAGGATCTAGCTAAGCATAGCAAAATTTAAGAGATGAGCAAAAAGGAAAATGAGTTGTAAAGAAGACCAAAAAGAGGTACCCAGAAGGATAGGAAGAATATAAGAATTCTGTGGACATGGAAACCAAAAGAAGGGAGTGATTCAAGGAGAGAGTGATAGCACCAATGTTGGTGAAAGAACACGTAAGAACGGCCTGAAAAGTTCCCCTTTCAGTGGTCCTGCAGTTTCAGTGAGGTAGAGAGAGGTCAGTGATTTTGAATAATAATAGCAAGTGAAGAAATGGTGATGTGCAAGAAGGTATATTATAAAAGACAAGGCCAGGGAGTGAGTTAGGGTTCATGCTAAAGCAACCAAGGGGTGACTTAAAAAAAGACTATAAAAAGTTCAAACTATCTGTCAGCTGAGGGTAGCCTGCCTTTTCATTTTTCTATAACAAACTACCTCCCCTCAAAAGGCCACCAATGCCCAACTCAAAGTTTCTGCCATTCGGTCCTATAGTTTGACTTTCCTGTTTCTGCCCCAATTTTAGTGGTGGTCCACCTTTATAAGCCACCTAAAACTTGATGTGGAGTGTAGTCATTTCTCTGGACTTTCTACAACACTCTTCCAAGTCTATTGTATGTATGGAGACTTCACACCAGGTTTGGGAAGACGGAAGTTGTTAAATTGTAGATCCACAGAGCAAGCATCCTGGAAAATATGTACTCCGTATCCATGTTCTTAAGTTCTTTTTGCCACCTGGCCTCTGGACTTCCTCAGTGACCATTTTCCTCTTCAGCTTCCAGCCTCCCACTGTCCGTTAGGTCCCTGGATTCATTCTCTTACCACCTCCTGTCTTGGCTTTCATGCCCAAACTCTTAATTTCCTGAGCAAAATGAAGTTCTTGGTATTTAACTGTTTCCTTCAGCATCAAAGCTTCAGGCCTACCTTCCTATAAAAGAAGATGTTCTAAATAAAGACAAATCCTTCTCTAAGAATTTTGATGACATCTGTTAAAATTATAACTTTTTCACCATCGTAATTGTCACCATCTTCCTACTCTCCTCGGCCCTGGACCTACTAAGCATGTTTTGACTCCTCTCTTTACTTCTTCCCCATCCTTTTCATCCCATCACTGACATCATTGATGATTCCTCCTCCATAAAATAATTTTTTTTCATGACCATGACTCTCGAGTAGGCTTTATGATTATTGCCAAGATCATTGCAAAGGGTCATCATTCTTTGGTACCCTGCCCCATCTTAGTCATCTTAAACACAACTGCTCCTGTAATCCAGACATCATCAGGGTACTTCTATCCTCTAATTATTCATTTATTTAACAAACATTTCTGGGAATTTCCAATACACAAGGCAAAGTAAAAGGATGAATGGAGCCCATTCCTGATTTCAGCCAGGTAAAAATTTAATAGGGTGATAAGTTGAGGTACCTGACTATACCTTTCTATAACTAAAATGTAAACCACTTTGCTGGGCACCGAAGCTCTCCCTAATGCTATAACAGTTTGCCTTTCTAGTACTATTTGCCATGACTTCCCTCTCGGTCACAATACTGTGTATACTTCAGTTACAACGAAGCTATCATTTGCTGAAAAACTTTTAAATTCAGGGGCCCCTGGCTGGCTCAGTTGGTAGAACATGTGACCTTTGATCTCGGGTTTGTAGGTTTGAGCCCCACTTTGAGTGTAGAGATTACAGAATAAAATCTTAACAAAAGACAAAAAGGAAAACTCTTAAATTCAATCTCATGCTGCCTGGCACGGCCATTCCCTCTTTGATGGCACCACACACTCCTTTCTCCAAGGTTTTGTAAATGTTAACTCCTGCAGCCTCAGGACCCATCTTACTCCTCCCATCTTCCGGCAAGTATAATCAATGTTTCTCTCCCAGTGTATTAACTGTATAATACTTACCCAGCCTGGCTTCCAGGATAGATGTTTGTCTATCTATACCCTACTCAGTTTTGCATCTCAACAGTGTCTTTCACGTAATAGGCACTCTGTACATACTGAAGTGAACTTGACAAGCACACGAGGTAAGAACACCGTTTTCAGCCTTTAATCAGATTGCTAACATGACAAGAGCTTCTGAGGGTAGCAGAATCCATGCGTGTACAAATAGGGACACATCCATTCGGTGAAACTTTATTAATCTCTCAAGGATGCACCAATGACCTAGGAGTCTTTTCATCTTCCTCCACTCAGCTGTGCATTAGCCCATTTCCTGTACTGTCCAGGCAGGACCTCTAAAGCAAGTTTTCCATCTTCTATACTTCCCATCCTACCAATCACTTTCATTTGAGAGAAGAGAGATGGAATATCACTTTATATTGTTCATCAGCCAAGTGGAAGAAAGCATGGGAATCTGTGAGTTCTGGTGCAGGCAGGGACAGCCCACAGAGTCCCTGTGGATGGACTGGTCACCCACACCCCCAATGTACTGTAACCATGGCTACTTCCATTAACAAAGTCTCACATGAAGGACTAAAACCAGCGCAGAGGCACAATGTATAATATATGCATAACGTGCCTTCTTGGCAGGAAGGACAATCAAGTGGTAGCATAGCAAAGGCACTCAGTGGTGGAAAGGACAATACTCCAGGGAGGTAGAATACCTAAAAGTACAATCACTAATGTAATAAAAAATATATATCAATATCTTAGATAGAATCGGATAGCTATGCACCTTACATGAATGATTTTATTTAACCGCCCCAAGAATTTAAGAAGTGGTGACAATAAGGGGCGCCTGGGTGGCTCAGTCAGTTGAACGTCTGACTTCGGCTCAAGTCATGATCTCGCCAGTTGACGAGTTCAAGCCCGGCATTGGGCTCTGTGCTGACGGCTCAGAGTCTGGAGCCTGCTTCCGATTCTGTGTCTCCCTCTCTCTCAGCCCCTAACCCACTCGCATTCTGTCTCTGTCTCTTTCAAAAATAAATAAACATTAAAAAAATGTCTTTAAAAAGTGGTGATAATGATGATGGTGATCCTTTCTCTAGAAATGAAACTGATTTGACCAAGGCTACATAGCTACTATGAAAGGGGCTGGAATTCAAATCCAAAAAGTATGACTTCATGGCTATAATCTTAACTCTAGTTTCTAATGCCTTGTGTATTATGGGGGATTGAATTAAGAAGTGGTGATTGTTTGGGAGGAACTGAGTGGCTCAGTCAGTTAAGCATCTGACTCCTGGTTTCAGCTCAGGTCATGATCCCATGTTTGGTGGGATCTAGTCCTATGTCCAGCTCTGTGCTGACAGCACGGAGCCTGTTTGGGATTCTCTCTTTCTCTCTCCCTCTCCCCTTCTCTCTCTGCCCCTTCCTCGCTTGCTCTCTCAAAATAACCTTAAAAAAAAAAAGAAGTGGTGAATTTTTTATAATTATAAAGGAAATTGACTTGGAAAGGGCTAGCCACCTGATACTCCAACTGCAGAAGCAAATACTGACGCTGGTTAGAAATTCTCTTGGATGCCCTTTCTCAAGGTGGGGGATCTCTGCCATGAACTTTGGGGTGAGTATAGTTATGTGCTTAGCCAAGAGTCTTGCTTTTCTCTGGTTCACATCTACAATTTGTGGCCTGTGGTATATGTGATTAAAGACAACACAAACAGTGTCTGGGTTCCAAACATGCCTAATGTCACAGACAGCAAAAATCTGGGAGCAGGTCTGGCAGGAGTTGATCCATCCCACAAGAGGCAGAGGCAGGCATGACAGTTTGGCTGAATGTTCAATAAATGTTACAACAACCCTGCATCTCAAGCAAATTATTCTATGCCTCCCCGGCGGGGGGTTGGGGGGGGTGGGTAACACTGACTGAGAATCACCCACTGTGTTCTCTAGAGAATACGAGACAGAAAACTGGAGACCTTCCATGAGCAGAAGTCAACAAAGCCAGAAGACACAGCAGGCCATACTACAGCACCGTTTCCAACTGGGGTACATATAAAACTGTAGCTATGTTTCTATAATTAGTTTGCTTTGAAATTCTGTTTTATTTTATGCATGAAAAGACATTCTGGGAAGGGGGTCCATACGTTTCATCAGGCTGCTAGACAGATCCAAGGCATAGGAAATCTTAATAATGCTGGGCAACAGAGAGGACAGCTTTGTAAATAGAGGAGCCAGCTTGAACCACCAAGTTGTAACCATTACCAAGGACAAACTTTCCTTTTCAGAGAAGCCATAGTCCAGGGAATAGTCTAATGTCATTATCATAATACAACTACCATGTAGAGTTGGCATTGCTGGTGATCAAAAGCCAGTGACCCCACAGGGACACTGATTAACTGATGTTGACCACCGTAATAAAGTTAACACAAAAATCTCCATCTAATATACTCAATCAGTCAGGGATTACACCATTATACACGTGAAGCAAGTAGCTTTTCTGGGAAAGACTCCTAATAATTTTTATCTTGTTTCACTGGGTTTCCTGAATGCTTCACAATGATTACTTAATTCTTCCGTAAAAGAAAATAAAAACAACACAGTCTGCAGAGTTTCTTTCTAGGAGAGTGAAGCATACTCATTCCAACATATGAAAAGAAAAAAGAAGAAAATAGAGCTGATTTGTCCCAATCCTTATCCGAAATGGTGTAAGATAATAAAACTTGGCTGAATCAAATGAAAAATAATCCAAAGATAATTCACATTTCTCGTGGAAATCCATTTTAATACTGTACTAACTCTGAATGTGTCTGATATTTTTGGATTTAATTTCGTATTAGATTTACACACATGTACACACAAACATACACATTTAAAACCCTATTTATCAGAAGGAATCACGAAAGATAATGTCTACCTTTCCTCAGTAATTTTTCTGGACTCATGCTTTAAGATCAAAGTAAGCAATTACATACAACATCTGGGCTCCACAATAAATTTAGATTATGAATGAAGTCAGAGACACAAATAACAAAGACAAGCATAGATTGGTCAATTTCTGAGAGTCTAGTCTTTAAAATAGGACATTCTCTGATACTGTAAATTTTAACTGGGTGCAAAATGAGAAAATGCATTTCAATTCAAAACACAAACTATTTTTATAAATTGGAAATAAGTCAGAAATACACAGGACTCTTCTGAAAGGTTGAAAGGACCAGGGTGTTGACCTCTCACTCTTCCACGTAGAGATCCTGTGTGTCTTCTAAGCCCCGTGGACACCACCAGATGGCTATTTTATAACATCAGATTCATGTTCTAAGTTTCAGTGCTTTAAAAATTAGGTTTGCCTGGGCTGAAAGTAAACTGAGTATTTTCTATATTCCAGCATTTTTTTCAGTAATAATTGGCTTATTACCATTTCATAAATGTCTTCAGATGCTTTGTTGCCAAAAATATATAGCCTATATTTAAAACCAAAGTATGCATTTTTGAAATGTTTTAAAACAATCATCCTAACTTTCTTACAGTGTTGTTATAGGATCAGAGGAGATGGCACATTTTGAATGATTTTAACTTGGTGTTTTTCTTTTCTTTTCTTTTTGTGAACAATGAATAGCCATCCACAAAAAGTGGGAAGAAAAGAATCACAGAATCCCAACAAAAACTTCCCAGATGGCCTCAGAGAGGCGATAAGGGAGGTAAGTGTTTCAAGTTTCCAAAGTCTTTGGTTTCCATAATGATGTTGCCAACTGAAAAGAGAGTAGACAGAGAATAGGACGAATTTGCCTATTAGGATCTTTATAGATTTTGAATCTTTGATCTCACCAGATTTGATGACAGGCCACAAAAGCATGTGCTAATTATATAAATCCCTTCCATATCCTGATCATTTTCTTTAAAAAGATAGCTCCAGTTAGTATTTAAGTGAATGAAATAAAACACAATCAATAATGTGCCACTAATAGGTACAATACCAGTGTTAAGTATTATAGGATAGTTAATGATTTAAAAACCTAATAAAAGTCATCCTGAAAAACCAACATACTTCAAAATAATTTTAAGCCGATACTTGAAAATATGATTTGATTTTAAGGTTACAATAAACTCAGAAAATATATAATTCAAAATACTTTTTAGTTTTATTAACAAGTTGTGGGTAGTTTCCTTCAATTGATAGCTCAAGATTTTATCATTCTTCTGAAGTTACAAAAAAAAGTAGTGTAATTGAAATTCAGTCTGCAAATAATTCATTCTGAACCCTCTCAGTTTTTTCATACTTTGTGTTTAAGAATTCAAATGCTACTCTAATAAATGAGGACAGAAAGATGTTTAAAATATGCATATTTGACGAAAATACTATAGTTATGTAAAATCACACAAGAACACACCAAATCATTTTTTCTGAGGTTTAATTTTAACTAATGAATTTTAGATGATAAATGTAATGTCAATTCAAATCTTTGCTTATCTGCAATGCACAGCTATTTTTTGTAACTTGTAGGTGAAATAGATTCTTTTCACCATGGCAATGTTTTCTCCCTTGTTTATGGTCTTTCCTTGCCTTTTCTTTTTCTTTCTTTCTTTCTTTCTTTCTTTCTTTCTTTCTTTCTTTCTTTCTCTTTTATTTTTATTTTTTTGTGCCGTGAGTCCTTTTTCTTCAACAGTTTAACAAGTCACTTCTGGTTTGGCTAAAGAGCAATCCTAGCACAATAATGTTTCAACTTGCAAGGAAGAACGCCCTTATTGAGTTGATAGAACTCCACCAGCTGGATTAGGTCTGTAAATCTCGTGTGGCCATCATCCAGAGTGTGGAACAATTCACCATCGTCTTCCACCTACAGGAGGGAAAACAGCAGACTGGTAAGATGGGCAAAATACCCTCAAGGGCAATCATATTCTATTGCACACTGTGTCTTTTTATACTAAAATGGAAAAGTGGATGAAACTAAAGGTTAATGAAAAGAATGTTATGATGCGCTGACTTTCTGTTTGTAACTTCACTTGTATTTAAAAGAAATGTCATCTGATCCTAGGATCCAGAGCGTGGCTGCTCTACTTTCTACACCTCAAGTTCTCCTAACGTTCTATCGTTAGAATAGTACGACTATTGTGAATCAACAGTGAGAAGTCTGCATTATTCGGTGCAAAAGTAAACACAAGATTTTAATGCTCTCATCGACAGAAATTAATTTCCATACCTGAGTGTTGTCTACCTAACAGCTTCATCTGTTATCTAGAAGCAAATATTCATATAATTTCTACCAGTAAATTGATTCTGAAGCAATCAAACATTATGTGAATGGAATGACAGCTGCTTCTTCTCTTCCTCCTCCTCCTCCTCCTCCTCCTCCTCCTCCACGGCAGTGACATTAAACATTAAATTAAAGAGGTCTTGGGGCGCCTGGGTGGCGCAGTCGGTTAAGCGTCCAACTGCAGCCAGGTCACGATCTCGCGGTCCGTGAGTTTGAGCCCCGCGTCAGGCTCTGGGCTGATGGCTCGGAGCCTGGAGCCAGTTTCCGATTCTGTGTCTCCCTCTCTCTCTGCCCCTCCCCCGTTCATGCTCTGTCTCTCTCTGTCCCAAAAATAAATAAAAACGTTGAGAAGGAAAAAAAATTAAAAAAAAAAAGAGGTCTTGTGACATTAAACAATTCATACTCACCCAAGGACAGTGAAGTTGGGAAGACACTTCATATGGAATTTGGATAATTCCAAAAAGAGGCCATTCAAAAGGAAATACTAGCAACTTAGCAATCTTAGGTAAAACGTTCCTGAAAGTAGACTGAATCTCTACTACACACTACCTGTTTCCAACATATAGATCACATGCATATACACATGCACGCGAGCACACACACACACACACACACACACACACACACACACACACACGGCATCAACAGAAGCAACAAAAATCCCAAAGTGAAGTGTGCTACTCAGAAGCAGAATTACAGAAAAATTTTAAATGTGCTCAGAATAGTTTAAATGTTCTCCAGTTCTGCAGCACCTGTGTACCTATCCATAATGATTAAAAGCAAAACTACAAAAACAAAACAACAACAATAACAAAAAAAACCATGTTTGAGATAAGAAAGCAGAAAGGGTTTAAATATAATGTTTTTTAAAGAACCACTGGTACAATTCAGAAAGAATCTCTAGTGGCCTTTTAACAATAGGTGGCATGGGGTCCATGCAATATTGGTAAATCATATTTCATGGAAAAAGGGAAATTTAATTTTTACAATTCCTGTATTTCTTATATTAATTCAGGCTCATAAAACCATTTCTGCCAAACTTAAGTCTAGTCAAAGTACAAGCTCCCTGGTTATATTTAATAAAAGATCCAAAGAAAACCAAAGTTTCCAAAAGCTTATGCATTAAGGTCATCTCTAATATACAAATGTGAAATCACAAATTACTTACTGGTATAATTTGAAAATGCTTTATTTTTTGTCCATGACTCATTGACAGTACGAAAGTTTTGGGGTTACTCTGACTATCCCGTACCAAGAAAACTCTAAGGAGAGAGAAGGAATTTCAATATGTTTCTACTTTACTCATGTATTTCATAAAAACAGAGCATGCAACAAATCTAGAAAATATATTTATAAATGTAGCCAGAGTTTTCCTTTACTGTGTATTCAATGATGGGATTATCCAACATGGTAAACAATCCGGTATAACATAATCTTGTACTATAAAACTGTCATCAGTGCTAATGTAATTCTAATAGGATAAATACACAGTGCATTTGTCAGATTGTTTGTTCACAATAAGCAATATAATGCTACGTTGGCATCAAAAGTTGGTCTATGTTCTTTTTCCATTGGAGGAACTGGGTATTCACACATAACACCTTTGTGCAGAGAATGGGGCATTAGCATATTATTACTTTAACTTCTGGGTTACGTTAGTCCCTGAAAAGAGAAAATTATTTAGAAGGAAATCATTTTGAACCCCTCTCCAACACGGATCCCCCTTTTTCTTTTGATTCTGGTTCCTACTGTTACGTACACAACAGAAAGTGAGAAATGCATATATTCTAGAAAATCAATCCTGAAATCATTTATTAAATGTTGAGCAAAATGTTTTGAGTAAAAGAAACACCCAAACAACGTATACTTCAATCATCAAGAATGCAGCAGAAAAGCCTCTATAATGTCGAGCTAGAAAAAACAAGGCATGGCCTAATGGCCTAAGAGCAAATGCTGCTAGGCGTGGATTCTTATTTACTGGTGATACTGTGCAAAACCAGCTTTGTGTTAATTGTTGGCAAACAGATTGTGCAAACAATCCCCACTGGTGACTCCAATACTAATCTCCCTGTGCCTGGGCAAAGAGGCAGCCAAATTTGAGCCATCACAGATGTCTGATGAGATTATCCATTCCATTTGTACTGTGTGAGATTCCGACATTACATCACTGGGAGATGGGACAAAAGGGAGTTTCACTGGTAAATCAAGCTGTAATTCTTTCTCCATTCCCGAGCGGATCACCGCTACCATCTAGTGGACTGCCTGGCATCATCACATCTTTCCAAAGGATGTACCCCACCCCCCATGTTTCATTAAAAATTTAAAAAAATAAAATAAAGATAGTATCATTCTTTATGCATTTATTTCATAAAATTTATAAAGAACTAGGCTCCGAAAGTAGGGAAATTATAATCCTTCAAAACAGTTTAATGATTCTTTGTGAATTATTTCTTTTCTTGGTCTCATCGGATTGTAATTCTGCTGATTGCTCAAATTTATATCTAAAACGACTGTGCTCCACATAGAGAAGTATATTAAAATCTTCTCTTATTTAGAGTCTAGTGAAATGCTGACTTGCTATTAATAATCTTCCATGTGAAGATGCATTTTTATCCAAATGTCAGTATTAAATCACCTTGAAATCTTGTCATCATCTTAAGCCAACCCTTGAAGATAAAAGGCCCCATCAAGCACTTGTTTAAATTGATGCTGGTTTCATTTCTAGTCCAAACCTCAATACAACCCCCTTGATTTGTACTGCATTTGAAAAGAGAATTTTTCCAGCATTCCAGGAAGTATTTGAAATACTCAGCGATCGGAGAAAAAGAAAATGCTTCAGAGTGTAAATATTTCATAATACAATTTACATTTCTCCTGTATCTTCCATGGTACCCCACCCAAAAATGACATGAGAAACACTTAAGAGAAACCCTCTTCTCATAGGTTTACACTACTTTAAGCTGTTAGAACTTGGAGAAAATAGGAATGTACACGGAGAGAAAAAAAATAAAACAAGCAGTCAAAATATACAAAAAAGAGTTTATGTACTCTGCGTCAAACTTAAAAACATATATAACATGTAAGATAATGTCATGACACAAATCATACTTTGGAATCCTATTACATGTTCAAATCAAAACGTTGACCCCTAAGAACAAGTTCAGTTTTAACTGAGATACTGGTGTTGGCACAAAATGGGTAATATTAGTGATCATTAGTTAACTGGCAGAGCATCCTATTCACTTATCTGTTCGTTGATGCACAGATATAAGCACGCATGACATAATAGGTTTTGTATAGATAACTGCTCAGATACAACGGTAACCACCCCTACAGAACAGAATCACTTCTGTTTTATGATATGCTGAAGTCAAAATTATGTGTATTAACTAAGTAATTACCGATTATAAGAGGGATCACAGTCACTACCATTCTAAATCAAACCTACCCATCCACAAGTCCTTGCTGAATAATCAATCGCTGTGCTTCATCTCTAGAAATTTTGTGGTGAAACCATGGCTGCGACCGGTGGATGGCTGAAGAAATACAATGCGGTGGGGGGGGGGGGGGGGGGAATACAGAGCTGTGTTTGAATCCTCACAATTTAATTACATACACTTTCCACCACAGCCACTCAGTCCCCTCACCCATGTGCACGTCCACCCAGCCATTCATTCAGTCCCAGTGAACAGGCACAGACATACCCATGTTTGTGGCAGAGCTCTGGGAAGAGGCAGTAGGGCTACCATGAGTGGCCAGGCGTAAGCATCCTTTTTTCTGCACAAGGAAAGGGAAAACAGATTTCAACTTTTCGGGTAAGACAAACTCAAATCATAAATACTTTTGAAGAATGTGAAGTTATTTGTACCCTCCAAGCGAGTCCTTCTTCAACAGCGACTGAAAGGGCTTCCGTGGGATTTTCTATAACTCTGCTTTTCTGGCCTGAGAAGTCCATTGCTACTAGAGAATTCTCTGATATACTTCTCTGGGAAAAAACACATTTTTTTTTAACATTAAATTATCTTTGAAAGTTATCTTTCAGTGCTTTGCTGGCAATATGTTTCCACTCTAGAATGTGACTCCAAAGGTGGCTGGCAAGAAATTAAAAAGTTAAAAGTACATATTTAGTATAAAATGGTGCTGTGAAGTATTTTGGTTAAATAAATTACATAGTTATTTGTTAAGATCACTGAATTAAATGTTGAGTAAAGAGATTAAAAGCTTTCAAAGTTAGCATGACTTTCTCTTAAAAGAACCTTCTCTCTTCCCATTCTCTGGCAAATTCTCTGGTAAAACCCTGTTTCTGGATATTCTCTTGAGAACACCAATGTAGAAAGGAGTAACTCTTCCTGTGGCTAAAAGACCCACCACTTCAGAACTAATCTCTGTTATGATTGGAGATTCGTCATTATCATTTAAATGTCAACCCTATCTGCTGATGAAGCAGCTGTTTTATAAGATTCACAGTGGACAAAGGTATCTGAGAAAGAAATGGTACTCATTTTATAATGGAACAAAATACAACACGTATCTTAAAAGTGTGTCACATCAAGGTTCATCTTACTTAGAAAATAAAATTTAGTGGAATAATGACTCCAGTAATTCCATATTAAAATTTTTATGATTTAATATATGAACATTTTCCATCTCGTGAGGATGAACACGGAAAAATGAGACCTGCAAAAATCAGTCTGACTAAAGAAGAACTGACGTACAAGGAAGACATCTCCAAACATAATTTAAATGAACAATGAAGTCTTCCTCTGGCCATTGCTTTTTGTTTTCATATTCTCTGAAGGTGAAAATAAACTATCCCAAACCTGGACTTTAGTTTTACTCTTTGTTTGGTGAGGGCTCTACTCTGCAACCAGCTTTTAAACAAGTGTGCCATCCCAAGTCGGTCATCCTAACACGAGACAATGATCAAGAGTCTCCGTCAGTTTGCTAAGAATTCAAACTCTCCCAAAGGGGAAAAAACATTCAAGAACAGCATGGACAATGTTTAACACTGACTCCCCCTCGTTAACAGAGGAGCGAGACAAAAAATGGAGTTCTAATAGTAAAGGAAGAGCCGGTGTGCCTCTGGAGACTCGTGGCGTAAGGCCTTTTTCTAACTCCGCACATGCATCCGGCCCTTCCTAGCTTCATCTAAAAGACGGTAGTCAAATGTATGCTTGCAAGAAAACCTGGTCCACACAAAACAATGGGGGGCTCACTTATCACCGCATCATACATCTCACTTCATTAGCATTTGCTATTTCCTCTTCCAACCCTGCTGTAGTGGTCCACAATCTTATTACGGTTCATCTTTATTTCTAGAGATCCGGCATGCAATCTTTCATTTGTTCCAGGAGCCTTTGTAACTGACAGCTGCTCTTTCCAGACAGATGCCGTCTCTGTAATCTCTATCTGCTGTCACACCTTACTTTGCCCTTCTCACCCCGTGATCTTCTGTGCCGGGCTGTAGACCAGTCGGATACACTTCTGCTTTGCTGACATTAATGAAAAGCCTCCACCTGCCCAAACCACAGAGTAACTAATCTCAATCATAATGATAGCTTTATCCTTACAATATCTCTACTTCATGTGCCAAGATGGGCTCTGTAATCACAAGGTCCTGATAACATAAAAATACTGTTAGGAAAGAAAAATAAACATAACCAGTTGTTCCTGTTCTTGTGGTTTTTTTCTCCTACAATACAATAGGATGAAATGTAAAACAAGATCCCATGTTCCATAATTACTTGACATTAGTAGGGAGTCTACAATACAAATAAATATTTTCATTTGCTACAATGACTACACTAGGGAAAACACAGGAATATAGCAAATGTGTTCTACTGAATAGCAGGTGGTGGATGAAAAATTAATAGTTTACCTTTGGTGGACAAAGAAATAGAAGTGAAGCAGATTCTGACTTGAACTCAAAAGGTCATTTTCAGCTCAATTTCTTTCACGTAAGAAAGCAATGTTGATAACATTCAGAATCAGTGTATTTCTCAAATATTTGTCCCTTTTTTCTAGCTCTTTCTTCTGGTGGAATAAACAGGGAAAGCCCTGAAAAAGGGTCCATGATTTTAATGACATACCTCTTTTTGCAAGAAAGAAGAGGCCTGGGTACACCCTGGATTATGCAGGCCACACTTTGAGATCGGATCCAGTCACTCCTAGTCAGCCTGAGACAGAGAATGTTTTTCAGGGAGTTTACGTAGGTGGCAACTAGTCGCCACACTCTCTGTCACCCCATTTGGAAGATGTCGATAGACCTGCAGCAGAGTCCTTAGCAAGAGACCACAGAATTCCCTGATACCATTCTCTCCTCTGCTTCATACAGACTCATAGGGCATCGGAGATGCAACCAATTCCTGAAATTATGCAATTGCCCCCCTTATTTTATACTGCAGGACACGAGTGACTCAAACAAGGTCACAAAGGCAGCTCAATGTAAATGCAGTGACAGATAGGCTCTTTCCAGGGTCATTTATGTACCACAGGGTGGAAGATAGAGGGAAGAAACTCACTTTTCAATGTCTAGCTCAGGGTCAAGAAGAAGGACTAATAAGGACTTGAGTAGACCGGTTTTCCCCATCTCATCTCTCCAATCAGGGCCATACTAACAGATCCTCCTTTAAATGAATCTTTGTGCTGAAAAGGACCAAATATATTTGGCTGCCTGAAATATCTGCTGATGATGCTCATTTCAAAGGCTGATAGGGGTGGCTATTACGTGCTATATACAGCTATGATGTTCATTACGGTAGGAGAAATGTTTTTCTTACTTCCCTTCTCAAAACGTATCCCTGGAGAAGTTAAGAATAGTGTTCCTTTAACAATATAATTCAAGTATACTCGGTTTTCTGTGTTGCTCACTGAAGATAGTGCCTGGATGAAAACCAACAGAGGCAGGTGAGGGGCACTGACAGTCATTATAGAGGTCACTGATTCTTCCATGATAACCTAGAAAGGTGGGATTCTGCATAGACATCAAAGTAAACACAAATACCTCCCCAAACATCTCAGTTTCCTTTATGTAAGTTAAGAAGAACGGAGGTATAATTCTCAAGTGCTATTCTCTCTGATCTTGACAACTGCCATACAGGACAGATAGGTCCTCGCTACACAGGCCTCCTACAAAATCCCTGTCTCCAGCAAGATTCACTCAAGAAGTGTCTTTTCCTACACACTGTGTTGAAGAAGCAAAGTTATACTAACCAAGTTGTCGTGTAAATATGGATCAGCAACAGGCCCACTTTCAATGGACAGAGGCAAGAGTAATACCATGCTTATGATGCTAATGACCACGATGAGACTGGAAAATGCTTTGTTTATGATAATTTTTCCCTATGATTAAGAGACACTAAGCAACTGCCTCCAAATGCATGGCTGCTATTAATGTGCTCATCCTAAAAACTTTAGATACTAAAAGAAATTTAGAAGGACTTAGAAAAGGAGTAAGATCATAAAATCCATTATTCTTTCCATATATGTGGATTGAAAGATGAAGCTAAGCTGACAAACTATAAAAATACTCACCTAAAGCAACTGCTGTTATAAAAATTCATTACAGTCTTCAGTTTCTTATTTTAGGGCTTAAAAGTGATCTGATACAAAGATGAAAAGTTACTCTTCCATAACGAAAAGCAATGTAACCACAGATAGGAGTTTTTTTCCATATTAGTCTATCAGACTTAGTAATCAACATTATTTCATGCCTCATTCCTAGAATTGAGCATTTCATCTGCTACATTACATGTGGGGAAATGTGCCTTCCTTGGTCACAGTTATGAGGAGCAGATTTTTAACCTATGTGGAAATGCAGTATGTTAGCTGATTTGTAACACAGGCACATACACCCGAATTCCTAATATACTCAATATTAAGGAGCAAGAGCAAAAATAGTAGAACGTAAACTTTTAAGTTCAGAAATAAATTTCGTGTGTTAAGGTACAGTCAATTAAAATTCAGTTCTAAAGAAGGGAAAAGATATGTCTGTGTGTATCTGCAAGTAAATATTCAAGTTGCATTTAGCATAAATCTGAGAAGCAGTGTTAGACTTTATGTAATGCAAGACCTACATTTTGGTTAGCAGTTTTTGGGTTTCCTGAAGAGCAGTTTGCTTTTCAAGGACGTAGACCTTAAAAATGTTGTTGTTAGAAAGCCAGAATGGCAAAAGAGCTCACCTGTGTGCACTTTAGCATTTAAAATTCCAAACTACTGGCGGCTTTATACTAGGCTGTGACAATTCCAGAATTAATATTAAAATAAATAAATAAACCCACAATGAAAATCAGTAATTAAAGAAACATCTACAGTCTCAAGGAAAATATTCTATAAATCATATCAAAATGTAATCCTCCAATGTTGTAATGACACAGAATGACTCACATAACTCTTTCAATTTTCTTTAACATATAACATTATCTATTTTAATTGAATACTTTGTGATACTGGACTGCTGGCATTCGATCGCACAGGCTGCAATCATGTGAAATCCAAGAATAAATAATTCAATATAACATTATGTTAGATGGTGTCGTTACTTTACTTAACCAAAAGGACTTACGGTGTGAGTGTACTGCAATGTACATCTATAATGCAATATAATTGCAAGTGAACAGAATGTAAATATAAAATATATAGATTAATAAATATGGTCCTTACCATGGGTGATATACTCTGAGAACTGCAGCCACTTCTACCTTGATATGGATGCATGTAATTCTGGTACAGCTGCATGCCATACTGCAGAACAAATAAATAAAAATGCATTCCCATCACTTTTACTACATGGGCAACTGATGAAAATTCAATACTTTAATTATAAATCATCAATATAAAAAATAAAAATTATAAGCTTTCCTTACAACAAATAGTAAAGCAACCATAACTTTGAAAGGTAAACTTCTAGTGCCCTACAATGATACATTAAAAAGACAAGTGTTTTTTACTTGAACCCACACTTAAAGTCTAGTTCACCAGTATAAAAATCTGAAACGGACATTCTTACTCATTATTCTTAGCACCCTAGTACCAAAAGCATTGGAGGAGTATATCACCTAATGATAAGAAAGCTCACTTGGGAAGGATGCCACTTTATGAAACAAGGACTCTGAAAACCTTACAGGCATCGTAAGCAAAACAGGGTAAAATTCACCATAACTCTTCAATGACTGATTGACAAATTATATCATCTCTCTGGCAAATCCATAAACTTGGCTCTGTGTTAAAGATTCTTGACACTGTAGCATCCTCTAGTAACAAAACTCTTATCACAATGTTTCATTTCTGGCTCTAAATTCAGGGAAATCAAAATGGTGGGGAATCAGGCTGATCTCACACAAACGGTCACAAAATACAATGTAAGTGGCAGAACACGGCATCTTTATTTTCAGGAGGTAGCACTGTAAGACTCGGCTGCCAGGCTACACGATTAGATTAGAAAGTGGGTCTGGGCTGTAAGTAGAATACTAGTTTAAGAAACATTAAGAATGCTAGCTGTCATGACTCCTGGGTGGCTCAGTTGGTTAAGTACACAACTCTTGATTTTAGCTTGGGTCATGATCTCAGGGTTCGTGGGTGCAAGCCCCGCACTGGGCTCTGAGCTGACAGTGTGGAGCCTGCTTGGGATTCTCTGCCTCCCTCTCTGTCTGCCCCTCCCTCGCTTGCACGCTCTCTATCAAAAATAAATAAACTTAAAAAAAAAAAAAGAATTCTAACTCCCATGGGGTGCCTGGATGGCTCAGTAAGTCAAGCAGCTGACTCCTGACCTCGGGGTTCTGAGTTCAAGCCCATGTTGGGCTCTGCACTGAGTGTAAAGCCTAGTTAAGAAAAAAAAAAAAGTATGCCAACTGCTAGAACCAAACTCATCTTGGAGGGTTCACCATCTGAAGCTAGAAGGTACTCCCCTAAGATTTACAGCACTTTCTTTAAAACAAAACAAAACAAAACAAAGCAAAACTACAATGGCACAGAGAGGCCTTTTCTTTTCTCTGGCTACCCTCGACAATTCTCTCCATTTCACAGATTTGCGATGAACTTGAAAATAGGTCCTATATAAAAGATTGAGGAGACACCATGGAATCCCATCTCACCCTTAGGATGAATTCCATTTAAACATTCCAACAGAACTGTTTCTCTACTAAAGACTATTTCCGTAACAGCAATTCCAGCAAACTGGATATATTTGGTAGAATATTGGATATATTAGGCAGAAATCAGAGGGCGGCTTGGAGAGTCTCTGTTTCCAAGATTTTGCTTTTAACATGAATACAAACCCACATTCATTTAAAATTCTCTATGATTATTTCTTTATCCAATTATTTCCCAACTTACAAAAATTATTTCTTAATTTACAGTTTGATTGACATTAATGGAACCTAATGAAATTTACTTTAAATCAACTCTAAACCTACCATAACTGTAAAAAGAAGACAGAGGAGCCTAATTCCTAGTCAAGTTCATTTTGGAGAATATACAATAACTTCTAACCAATATTTTCACAAGGTACACACATGCTGCTTGGTAAAAGCTTGGTAAAAGCCAGCTATCTACTAATAAGACTGTTTCCTTCAAAGATGTATTATCCCTGGTACCTGTAGTGTTAGGTAGTTGCTTCTGTGCTATTGGTCTTTAGTAGGCATTTAACTCTGGCCGAGGGATAGGGCATGAGTCACCTTAACATGTCTCTGTCCTACAAAGGGGCAGATAAGGGACCAAAATATGTTAGAAGCTGACAGAGTTCTAGTTGAAGGGAAGGGAAGAATATAACATGTAACTAGGACACTGTACATGAGCAATTCTCAGATTTTCTATGAATCTATATTTAACTGGAACTTATCCAAAGAGAATAGGAGGATCTTCCTCTGACACCACATTAACAGTTTACATGTGTATATGAAAAAAAAGAAAGGAAAATAAAATTAGGAGGCCAAATTCTTGGAGGAGGCAGTATCTAGTAAGTAGCATGTAAAATGGAAAATCAGGGGCCCTTTCAGTCCGATCAGCACACAGACTCATGTCTCCCTGCGTTTCCAATGAAGTCCAATGATAATCTGGAAATACAACAGACAACCAAAGGAGAAAAATCAAAAGACACCTTTAACACCAAGTGAGTCCAGGTGCACCAGCCAGGGGGATAAAACAGGTACCCACTGACGACAAGCTGCCAGGGGAAATCAACTGACTCCCCTGTTAGAGCATTTCAAATATGTGTTCTGGCAAGCCCTGCCTTCCTGTATCTGGATATGTTAAAACAGATCTGTTTAACAGATCTGTAAAACAGATCATATCATTTTCCCATTTGAAACTGTTAGGTGGTTTATCATTGCCTCCAGGATAGAGGTTCTCAGTGATGCCTGCCTCCCTCTCTGCCTCATCTGGAAAAGCTTTACCACAATTGAACACACACACACACACACACACACACACACACACACACATGGGATACATATATAGTAGGCAGAATAATGGCCCCGATAGATGTCCACATTGTAATTCCTGGAGCCTGTGATTAGGTCAGGTTACCTGGCAAGGAAGAATTAATGCTGCAGATAAAATTAAGGGTGCCAATCAGCTGATGCTGAAATTAGGTGAGTATCTTGGATTATCCAGGTGGATCCAATATAATCATAAGGGCCCTTATAAGTGGAAGGGGAGGCACAAAAGAGAACTGAGTCATAGCATGAAAAAGTCTTGGCTCAATATTGCTGGTTTTAATGGTAGAGAAAGGGACCATGAGCCAAGGAATCTTGGAGGCCTCTAAAGTCGGGAAAGAGCACGAGAAATGGATTCTCTCTCAGTCTCTGGAAGAGAATGTAGGCTCTCAGATACCTTGTGTTTAGGACAATTAGACCCATTTCAGGCTTCCTGAATGACAGCGGTGTAGGATAATAAATTTGTGTTGTTTTAAGCCACTAAAGTGGTCATTTGTTATAGCACTCATAGAAACTAATACAATGGAGCATCTTTAAAGTGGACATTTGTGCCTTGAAAGATGGTTTAAAAAGAAATCAAATGAGAAGAAAAAGTGAAAAGGAGACAATCTTCCAGAAGCTAAGCATTCTGTATATGGAAGGATCAAAAAAAGCTCTTAATATATTTTATCAATTCTTAGACACACATTTCTTTTCAAATTTTAACATTCATAAATTTTCCTTAACTTAACTATGGCATCTTATATTCACTGTGGACCAAGTGACTTGCCATTGCCTGAAATGTTTGGTGAGATCAAAAAATCATTTGCATCAAACCTTGCAAGGGGGATGCCACTGGCTAGAAAGACAACCCCAGGGACCATGGCAGAGCACCTATCTGAGAAGTTATTCCTCCCTGAAGCTCCTGATGGCACAGAGCTAGAGAGTTTGTATGAAATATGGGTGTCCATGCTCTGAGAAAAAATGATTCAGGAAAACCAGACTTAGAATTTGAAGTTTTATAGATAGCTCACACAATTTATTTCAGGTAGATAGATAGATGTGTGTGTGTACACAAAATTGATAAAGGATGAAAATCTGCATCTATGAGTCTAAATAAATATAAAATAACTAAATGAAAATAAAAATCATAAGTGATATGAAAGCATATCATAATTTTACTGGCAGAATTCTACTTTTACAAAAAAAAAGGTGTATCCTAGTAAAATCAGTTGCATGTTAGAAAGACTGCTTTAAGGAAGTGGGTAAAAAAAAAAAAAGGAATGGGCTTACCATCTGCTCCTGACTTGGGTGTTTGACCTTGAGATCAAATTAGAAGGGAGGAAGCCTTGACTAACAAGGTTGGAAAGCATCTCCTCTACCAGCCTACCTTGATTTCCAGAGTTCTAAGGGAAGGAAAGAGAAAACCAGAAACCTCAAGGTACTTTTTCTACTGTGACTGTGATGAGTTAAAGGATTCCAAAGAATGCCAGCCTCTTCATCTATAAAAGGAGAAGACTGGATGAGGTTACTGGTTCTTAATCAGGCATACATCTGGAATTCACTCACTAAATCGGGATCCCCAAGGACGGGGCTGGGCCCATAGGACTTGAGAGTGCTTCTCAGATGATTCCAATGCATATCCCAAGTTAACTAATTACTACTTCTTTGTCTGGTTTGCAACACTCTTTAAAGTTCTTTTCTTTTTTACATTTTATGACAATGAGAACATAGAAGCAATTACTTACCATGAGGGTTTCAAAGAATCAAGACTCCTAAGCTTTGTTGAAACCAAAATCATGACAGTCATTTAACGGGTGACTATTGAAAAACAAGTCTCTTGTAATAAAGTAACTACGGTAGCTATCTGCCATAACAGCAAAAGGAAGCAAATTTCATAGTTAATCCAAAAGCTTCCTTTAAGCCATTTAAATGATGTTTCTTCCAATACCACTTCACATCCACTAGGGTAATTATTTTTTTTAAAGGAAAATAACAAGTGTTAATGAGGATATGAAGAAATTGGAATTTTCATATAGCGCAGGTAGTAAACATTAGTCACTTTGGAAAACATTTTGACAATTCTTCAAAAGGTTAAACAGAATTACCATATAACCAGCAATTCCACTTCCCGGTATATACCCTCAAAACTGAAAACAGGTATCCAAACAAATACATAAATACACATGTTCATAAGAGTACTATACACGATAATCAAAAGATGCAAACACCCAAGTATCCATTAATGGATAAATGAATAAACTGTCTTAACATATATCTATACATCTGTAAACACACACACACACACACACACACACACACACACACACACACTGGAATATTATTCAGCCATAAAAAGGGAATCAATTATGGACATGCTATAAGGTGGATGAACTACAAAACAATATGCTAAATAAAAGAAGTCAGACACAAAAGATCAGATATTATATGATTCCATTTATATGAAATGTCCAAATAGGTAAATCCTATAGAGACAGACACAGTCATGGATGGTTGCCAGGGGCTGGGAGTCACTGCTTTATGGTTATGGAGTTTCCTTTTGAGGTGATAAAAAATTGTTGGAGCTAGACAGAGGTGGTGGTTGCACAACATTCTGAATGAACGAGATGCCATTGTATTGTTCATGTTGTTAATGTGTACACAGTTAGTAATATGTTCATAATGTTAGCATAGTTAATTAAAATAGTTAATTCAGTTACTTTTATGTTATGTGAATTTCACCTCAATTACATAAAAGAATAAAAAACATATACAATTTTATTTAAAAAGATAAAAGATAAAATGTAAAAAAGAATAAAAAGGGGCGCCTGGGTGGCACAGTCGGTTAAGTGTCCGACTTCAGCCAGGTCACGATCTCGCGGTCCGTGAGTTCGAGCCCCACGTCGGGCTCTGGGCTGATGGCTCAGAGCCTGGAGCCTGTTTCCGATTCTGTGTCTCCCTCTCTCTCTGCCCCTCCCCCGTTCATGCTCTGTCTCTCTCTGTCCCAAAAATAAATAAAAACGTTGAAAAAAAATTAAAAAAAAATAAATAAAAAAGAATAAAAAATAAAATAAAAGAGCAAATAAAAAAAAGAATAAAAAATAAAACTGTTTTCCAAAACTTGTAAGACAGCTAATAATTCTGATTCTGATTATTTTGCCCTTCTTCAAAAGGAAATGGTTGATAATTTTTATAATTATGAAGTTGTGTTAAATTTACTACCATACAAGTTTTGAAATTAAATATGTTTTCTATACATTCTAGAAGAAATCACTCTATGTCTCTCTTCCCCACATAACCTTTAAACATTCTTACTCCTTTCAAAATGCTCACTAGCAAACTATGCTTATTTAGGTTACAATTTCTGCTTAGCACAAAGTGGATGTTTTCATAGTATACCTACAGTAAAATTTGCATAATAATTTGAAGTAAACTATAAAACAATTTATACAACACTTAAATTAAATGTAAAACCATCACACTAAACATACTTCAGTGGGCACATTTTAAAATATATGTCACATTGGATTGTTGGCAATACGTTGAAAATGCATACTGAGTCATGTATAGAAGTTTTAATCAGTTACACTAGCTATCTATGTAATACTCTTTAAAAAATAAAATTCAGAGCATTTGTAAAAATGGAATACTTACTCCACACACAAAAGATAAATGCATTAGGCGATTCCACTCTACTCTGCAAATGTTTATCTTTTAGATAAAAAAAAAATAAAATACATACATTTGGGTACATGGACTCATAGTGAGTCTTCACATTTTGAAATACAGATGTTTTCACACTTTCATGGCACTCCCAGCATTTAATAGGAATTCACGCCTGCGACGAGATTACCTTAAGCAATCTAATCGCGGTCACCCAGCACGTCCTACTCTGCTCTTCTTCTGCACAGAGCATTTTCAGGTCTCGGGGCCCTCCCGCTTTGTTAGGCTAGAAGGCCACAGCACATTGTTTATCGTTAATGCATATCTTGAAGGTAACACCTGTTGAAATAAAAGCCACTAAAATTCTCCTATATATAAGAGAAAGCTGTCTCTTTTTAAAACAAATTAAAAGAAACTCAAGCTTACCTAAAAGGCTGAGGCTTGCTTTATTCATCTATCAAAATATTAAGCCTGTACCTTAAAGCAGAATCCATAGTTAGTCGGTGCTCCGTGTTTTTTTTTGCCGGCCAGTGACACATAAATATCACTATTGCCAAATTCGCTGAAAAACTGCAAATGCCGTGGTTCCTTTAAAAAAATATATACGTGAGTGTTGAACACATATTTTGGCACACTCTCTTTGTGTTTCTATCATGTTGCATAATTTATACCTTGGCAAAAAATATTCCAAGTAATGTCACAGAAACAAAAGGGAAGAAAAATTAAGTTACTATATCCATAAAAGAACCAGAAGCTTGATACAATATTATTTGAGAAGTGGCCACTTGTTTGTAAGTTTAACTTCCAGTATACAGCAAAACATTTACCTTCCTATTTAAAGTTTTCTCTTTAGAGCCAAAGCATAAGAGACTCTTAAAAACTGAGAGCAAGCTGAGGGTTGATGGGGGGTGGGAGGGAGGGGAGGGTGGGTGATGGGTACTGAAGAGGGCATCTTTTGGGATGAGCACTGGATGTTGTATGGAAACCAATTTGACAATAAATTTCATATATTAAAAAAAATAATAAAGTTTTCTCTTTAACTACCATTTCAGGAATCTCAGGGAAAGAGGCAGCAAAGGATGGCTTTTGGAAATGTTTTCCTTGTCCAGGTTTCAAATAATGGTAGTTGAACAAAGGCAAGAAGCTTGGTTTGAGTTTCCACGGCAGTCAGAGAAGGAAGAGAAAGAGACAATGATTCTTGCTTTGTTTGGAAACGATCACCCCTCCTGTTTGCGTACTGCCCAGCACATCACAGTAAACAATGAAATAGGTGGCCTGACTACTTTTATGAAAAGAAGGAAGCCTGTACAGATGAGTTCAGGGAAATTACCTGGCAGTGGAATGTGTCTGATGTTCAAGGCAAAGTGGAAGGAATCATGAACAGCTATTTCTTCTCTGGGAAATCCATGAGATTTAAAGCTGGTCATGGGAAATCACTGGGTCATATTATTCTGTGACAGGTTAATAACTTGAAGAAGTGCTTAATTCTGGGGTTGAATGTATAATCTAAGCTGACCAAAATGCATTTGTTCTTTAAAATCTTGCTACTAGTAGTGTGGTCCCAGACGAGCAGCATCAGCATCACCCGGGAGCTTATTAAAAATGTAAAATGTGTGGCCCCACCACAGACCTAGTGAATCACAATCTGCATTTTAACAAGGCCTCAGGTTATTCACATGCACTGAAATTTGAGAGGCAATGCTCAAAACAAAGCAAAACAGAGAAGACAGAAAACCCAGAACATTCAGCAATTTGAGCAACCCATTCAGATCCAAATCCAAAATACTTCTATCTAGTCATTTACCAGCAGGCTATTGCATCCCTGATGATTGGTAGAGAGAGAGTGTCTGTGTATGCCACTGTTCCTCTGTGTCACTGTTAGGCATTTTGATCTAATGAATGACTACAGTTCCCAACTCCATGGGAGAATAAGGCAGAAAAGAAAACTGTTGAAAGAGACCCAGCCTCGCGCCCTTGGAACAAGGGGAGAGGAAGGAGAGAGATACTCTTACTGTCATGGCTTTTAAAACTATTTTTTGATAGAAACAAATGCTAGTAAAAATGTCTGATTTCTACGAAGAAAAGATAAAACCATCCCCCATCCACTGGTGCTGTAGAAGTCAACGTAGCTGAGTCATCTGGATGTAAGAAAAGGGCAGCTTGAGAAACCCTCGAAGGCTACAGAGGCATGATGGGTTTCATTTCTTGACAGATTTTTGCTCCATTACTGCAGACATATCAAGGTTTAAAAATTGAGACCACAAGCCTGGGTTGGCCTGGTTAGCAAAGGCTACACGTGCATGTGTATACAAGGGGAGAGTTGAAGAGGGGCATACTTAGAGGTTTCCCTAAATAAAAGTCACAGGTACATCTCCAAGGCTTGTAGCGGTGCTGAACTAACTCCCACGCAGCCCAGATCTTCAGAAATTACAATAAATCAAGACCTTCTCACAGAAAAAGGATAGGAAATTGTATCTTTGCCAGGTAGAAATGTCGTTAGACATTAGATAACCTGCATAATTTATATTAAGGTCATAATCCTTGAGGTTACCTAATACCTTGAATTTCTTTTTTTGAGGGGAAATTTAAAATCATTTTCATGTATGGAACATGAGCTCATTAGACACAGGCCAGAGAGAAGAATATTATGTACTGATATACAGCAAAGTCAGACACTATGTTGAAAAGAGCTACAATATGGACTGAGAACAGATGTTTGATGCTTGTGATTTTGCCTGGCCAAGGGAAAGACCATCACAAGAAAAAAGGCATGGGTCCAGTAGAAGGAATCAGAGCTGTCTTTTATATAACGGTTGGGCAGGGAAAGGAAGGGAAGGCTAAAGTAAAAATATAATGGGCAGTTGATTTTAATGAGAAACCTGTTGAAGAAGTGAGAATTTAGAAATTAAAGAAACATTATGATATCTTCCAGTGAAGGTTCACTGGAAAAAGTATGATCAACATGATTACTGGATTTAGAAGCCACTTTTCTCTGATGTTAAAAGTAAAAAAATAAATAAATAAAAAAATAGGGGCACCTAGGTGGCTCAGATCATGGTCTCACAGTTCATGGTTTCGAGCCCTGTGTCAGGCTCTGTGCTAACAGTGTGGAGCCTGCTTGGGATTCTCTCTCTCCCTCTGCCCCCACCCCCCATTCATGCTTTCTGCCTCTTTCAAATTAAATGAATAAAGTTAAAAAAAAAAAAGATAACCAAGCATGTATTTGTTTAAAAGACATCTTCATATATAACTTCACACTTACAAACAAAGGATAAAAAAGCAACCCCACTAAAATTTAGACCAAAGAAAATCCAAAACCTTAATTACAGAAACAGGTCATTATTTATCCTGACATTATTTATGATAGAAAAATTTGAAAATTAGTTAAAATGTTCAAGAAAAATTAGTTTAATGCATATGTATGACAGGATGCTAGGAGTCAAATGACATACACTTAAAAATAAAACACGTCTGTTAGAGAATGTATTACTAACTATTACTAAGTTAGCTGAGCCCCATTCCATCACTTAAACTTCAACGAAATACACACTCATATGCCTGTACTCTTGCAAACAGCAACAAAGGAAAACCATATCTGAGGGAAAGCTCGCGAAAGTATGAAAGAATCAAGTATTACTCCTTGTGGCTCCGTATCTCCTGTTAGGACTACCACTGGTATATCTGGTCTCCCCATTAAGTGTATTCTGGGCATTTCCATTTGAATGCTTCACCCTCAACACAATATATCTAGAGCTCAGATCATGATCTTACTTTTAAGATAATGTGATAGCAAACCTCCTATTCCTGTTTATTAAATCCTTGAGTGTTTCTTTATTTCCTTTTTTTTAGAACATTTAAAATGCTCCCTCTCCTTTCACATCAACAAGTTCAACAAGATCTAGCCACTTGCCATTGAATCTTGTATCCATCCCTTTCACCACCCACACCCCCCCCCACCCCCACCCCAGCTCATCATAGGTCTAGGTTAGATCCCATCAGCTCCACTCTGCATCGCTGAGTGACTATCTAATTAGCATCTGTGTGTGCCTCTAGATAATCTCTCTTTCCCTGTGTCCCCCTCCACTCTCTGCTTCCTTTACTCCCTCCCCTTCATTCTTTTTTTCTCTTTCTCTCCCTCTCTCTGATTAAGCTCCCTATGGCCGTAGTAATCTTACAACTTGATTATCTCACTCTCCTGCTCAAAAATTTTCACTGGCTTCCTATAGTGAGTTGAATGATAGTCATCCCCCTCCCCCACAAAAGATATGCCTGTGCCCCCATCCCAAGAAACTGGGAATATAACCTGATTTAGAAAAAGGGTCTTTACAGATGTAATTTAGTTAAGGATCTCAAGATGAGACAATCTCAGATTATCTGGGTGGGCCCTAAATGCAGTGACAAGTGTCCTTATAAGACATGGAGAAAGAAGAGAAGGCCACATGAGGAGAGAGTGAGGCCTCCACAAGCAAACGTGTGCCTGCAGCCACACGTGGCCAAGACAGAAATTTAAAGAATCACATAATGAGAGTGAGAAATAAATAATAAATGAACATTTCCAGGATAAAAGGAAAATAGAAATTTGCAGACTGAATGCATATGGTGAGAATCAAGTAAGATACATCAGAATACATACGAATGCACCTAGAAATATGGTCGGGGAAGTTACTGAACACCAATGATTATCACAATATTTGAAAAACAGCCAGAAAAAAAATGACAGATTACCAACAAAGAATCAACAATGTTGTTTGACAACAACAGATGCATGAGAACAGAATTAAAATAGTCGCCCATGAAAACTCTCAAAAGTAGTTTTACATGAAAGATAATCAATGCATCGCATAAAATGTCAGCACTCATAAAACAAGGCATAGTCAACACTGACTAGACTACACGGAAATACAGACAATGCAGCGCTGAGCACTGTGAAATTACATGTATGAGTGATGGTGCGTGTAGGAGCACACAAGTAGGTCTATGTGACTGTGCGGGTATACACACACAAGCACACAAAGGAACACATATATCCACCCTGATGGTAATGTACCTTCCTTTAGGAATCGACAATCTAGCTAAGGAGACAAAACCAACACAGACAAAGGAATTAAAGAGCAATTACAGACTCAGCTGGGTGTTACTAACTGCATCAACAACAGAAGTTCAGAAGTGGGCAAGGTCAGCAGCATAACCTGTGGTGAAAAGAAAAGATGTGCACTACATTGGACCTCAAAATCTGCAACCGAGGATAAAGAAAAAGGGGGTGAATTTGGAGTAGAGAAGAAATGAGCACAGTATGTGGTACTGAAATAAGAGCATCTAGATTTCCATCACAGGGCCTATGTTGAAACTAGTGTGAAACAAAGCTGAATAGTCAGTTCTTAAATGGATTATGGCAGAGGTACCAGGATGGCTGGGTCCGTGAAGTCTCCGACTCTTGATCTCAGCTCCAGTAATCATCTCACGGTTCGTGAGATCAAGACCTGCGTCAGGCTCCACGCTGACAGCACGGAGCCTGCTCGGGATTCCCTCCCAGTCTCTCTCTGCCCCCTCCCCTGCTCATGTTGGGAGTCTCTCCGTAAGTAAGTAAATAAATAAATAAACATTTTTAAAGGATAGATAAGTTGTAGCAAATATTTGGGATCTATAAGTACCAACTCTTGATATAAGCAGTAAAAAAAAGTAAAACCCACTTTAACTTACAATTCATAACATATCATTGACATTTCAATTACCTTTGATGTCCCTTTTGTAGAAAAATATAAACCAGATCTTCTTAGAAGGAAGTAAATCTTTTTCCAGGACTTCTTTCCCTGTTCTTTTGCATGTAAGAAGCCATGGATTTCAGGATATGTGCTTGAACTCAGAAACATCTGGAAGAAAGTTAGACATTCTCATAGTATTTTTGAATCAATGATAGTGTAGCCTTATAGTAATCTTGTTAAGATTTCAAATATAACCATGTAAAATCTAACAGGGTCAATACCACTTATACAAGCCATTATAGAAATGGCAATATAAACACAACGGAAAACAAATCAGTCTTTTGACAACCCAAGGCAAGTTCCAAATAAAAATATGTGCACAAAATATACATTCTAAGTGGTCAGTACTTAGCCAAAACACCAAACTGGTAAGTTATTTAAATGTCCATCTTGAAAAGCTAGATTTTGTCTAAGAGTTAAGTCCTGATACGTTTCTATGCTTTTCTATGCTCCTCCCTGAGAACATATCAACTTCATCATAGTCAAAATAAAGACTACAACCTTGACTTCAGTTATTCAGTTGTTAAGAAAGTTGGGCTGAGTTCACCTCCCTGATGAGGTAAAGCAAACAGTCTTTTCTTCGTCCACCAAGGTTCTCGATTGTGGATGGCTACGGCAGGTGTTTTCCAAAGAGAGCTGCAGCACCATCTCGCAGCCCACATGCTCTTCTGCAAAGTGATCTTGCCACTGACACATGAAGAGCTGGAGTCTGTTTCTCTACCTCCTTGAATCTGGGCACAGCTTCTGACTGCTTTGACCAATGGAATACAGCAGAAGTGATAGTCAGCTAGTTCCAGTTCTGGTCCTTAACTAGTCCTTCACTAGTTAACTCTTGGAAGCTAGCTGTCACATAAGAAATGTGACTACCCCGAGATGGCTCTGCTGTGTGAGACCCAATACAACTAGGAAAGCCCTTGAGGATGAGAACCCATGTGGACAGAGAAAGACAGAGATGAGAGAGAGAGAGAGAGAGAGGCAGGCAGGCCAAGAAGTACCAGGGACATACAGTGAACAGCTATCTTAGAAGGGGATCCTCAAACCTCCAGAGAGCCCATGTGCCTCAGGGATGACCCACCCAGCTAAACCCTTTCTATATTCCTGACCCGCAAAATTGTTGGCAAAATGTGAGTGGGCACTTAAGCCATTAAGGTTTGGAACAGTTTGTTACACAGTAATAATGAACTGAGACAGTAGGCATGTGCTGGTTGGGAAAGCGAGAATGAAAAGGAAGAGCTCTGTATGAGTGGCTGTGCTCTGCATCCTTAATAAGACAGTGGAAATGCATTAGCATCTCATTAAAAGAAGAAAACAGAAATCCCTATGAATAAACAAATGCAAAATGGAAAAACTGAAAGAGAAATTACTAGCTAAAATGATGTGACATATTTTAAAAGGCTACTCTGGGAAATGCTGAGAATAGATATGTATGTTTTTAAGTAAATTATTAAATTTTTTAATTTAATGAGCCACAGTTATTAATTAATTGACATGCAAAACAGGCAAGTAGGTTTTTTAGTTTGAGTGCTTTCCAAGTTATTAAACCAAACCAATTAAATTTTAAAAAGGGAGTCACAGAGGTCATACTAGAAGAAGAAGAAACGTTTTAAAAGTGGAAACATTGCCTCTGTGGAGAGAAAAGGTCAGAGGCATATGCAGGACTATCTGATTCCAAAGCTATGATTTTTCTTGTTTTTATAATTTCACATTAAAGTAATATAACTATATTATAGGAGAATTGGGGAAAGGAGGTGGAATAAAAACTCCAGCCCGCCACTCTGTATCCTAAGCCAGTAGTGAAGCACTGAGAGGGCCTGAGAGCGGCGGGGGGGGGGGGGTCCTCAGGCATAGCTGCTGGGCCGCTGCTACTCATCCTAATATCCTGATGGGGTGTCTGTGAAACCCAGTAGCATATAAGAAGCTTTCAGGAAAATCTCTTGAGACTAATCACATTTCTAAAATATTGTGAAGAGCGAAAATGAAATATAGCCTATTAAAAGCCCATAGAAAACAGATCTGTACCACCCATTACAGTTACCAGTATATTTAAATACCAATATACTTAAAGTAGTATCTATTATGGAAATATTAAAAGTTGTCTTCTTTAATGGTCAGAAAATATTGAGTGGGTCTGAGGATGCCTGAAGGCTTAGATCAAACAGTAACCATTATAAAAACATGGCTCAACATTAACCTGTTAACAATGGCAGAGCTTGTGATGTGAAATCTACTAATCTATGAAAAATAAAATAACTGAAATCATTCTTTTATTGCAACGAAAATATCTTTTAAAAATGATCTTGTAAAGCCACTTCCAGTTTGGCAGAAACGAGCCCAACAGATACAAAACTAAGGAGACGCTTAATTAAATAACTAGCATTCTTAATTCAGCTAAAACATTTCAGAATTCTGCTCAGGTATCCAACATGGCTATGACACATGTCAGCATATGATTGATATATATGTGTGTATATATATATATATATTCTATATCTGTTTTTCTCCTTTCACTTAATTGCTGAATATTTTACCACAAATGGATTGAGAGCACTTATTATAAAAGTTAATATTAAATATCTGTCAGTAAAATGCCTACACTTTACTGAGGATTTTGATTTTTCAAAAAGACTAACATAATCTTTAAACACATCATAGAACAAATTACTCTGCAAGTTTCCTTTCGTGATACACATTCCTTTCACAATTGGCCAAAACTGGGAAGAAAAATGGGGTTAGGACGCTTTCCTGATTTAGGGAATTCTTTATTCAGGTTTTGTTCTTTCCTTTCCTATTCTTTCTTTTCTTTTTAGTTTCACCTCCAGCAAAAATTAATCAGTCAAGGTATACCATTTCAAAATCTGGGCATGTATAAATATGGACCTTAAAGTTCCCCTTTATCATGCTGTTACTTAACATACTTCAATGGGAATATATTTTACCTGCAAAATCTGTGTGGGGGATATTTCACCATTGGTTTCAGTTGCAAAAGACACCATATGCTCTGGAAAAAAATACTGGCAAAAAGATAGAGGTTACATTATCTCAAAAGCCATGCTAGAAAAGATTCAGTATGACCAATATAGTAAGCTAGAGCAAAAGTTCTCTAAGTCACTGTGTTGAAAATTCACCTGAAGTGTTTTGTTTTGTTTTGTTTTGTTTTGTTTTGTTTTGTTTTGTTTCTTTTTTAATGCCAGTCCCTGGACTCTACTTTCATGTATCTTAAGGGGAAGGTGTGGGTAGGGCCCAAAGATTAGCAAACACCCTCAGATAATGCAGATGCAGAGATCCACATACGTCAAGTTACCAAACACTGCTCTCACGATGGCAGCGTGCTTGCTCCCGTATCTCTTCCCTGAGTCCTACAGCCATTCTGGCTGGCAGGTGCTAGAGGATTCTCAACTCCATTTCACAAACTCAAGGCTCATAGAAGTAGACGGTATAACCCAGGTCACAGCCACATGTAGAGGAGCCAGGACTTACAATAGGGCCAGAGGCTAAAAGTCCAGTCCTTTCAACCTACTCTTTGTCCAACCTTGTTTAATCATAAAATTCACCTAGGACAGTTGTTTAAAACTGGAATTCCCAGGCTTCATTCCTGGGGTGTTTGATTCAGTAGGTCTGGGTAGGTCTTGGGTCCTATGCTTTTAATAAGCACTCTCTCCACCCCCAGGTAATTTTTATAATCGGACAAGTTTGGGAAAATACAGACCTCTATACTTCCTGGAAGGACAGGCCTTTACAACAGTTCTATTAACATTTGGTCTAATACTGTGTTCAATATTAGTTACGGCATTCCTGGCCTCTACCCGCTAACAGCCCTCCTGTCCCTCCATCCCAGTAATGACAGGTAAAAATGTCTCCAGACATTGTCAAAACACCCCCAGTTGAGAACCACTGCTCTAGGTCTACAAAATGAGTGTACAGACTTGTTTAAATAATAATAATAATAATAACAACCATAATGATATATAACCCAAAACAAGCACTAAACCATATGCCTTTAACTATACTTTTAAATTCTTGCTTTTAAGAAAGATTCACAACAAGAAAACAGTTTCCCTTCAAATTCTATTTAATTTTTATTAGTACTCTTTTATTTTCTTTGTCAAAGATCACTCCATTATGTTTTTATTAATAAGTTCAAATAAAAGAGAACATAAGAGGTCTTTCAGGGTTTGAAAATATTCTATTATAGTATGTATCATATATTTTTCATAAAGGATCATTTCAATTCAATTATCCAAAACTTAGTGTAAAAATACGCTATAGCTACAGAGACAAAAACAATTTAAAATAATGAGCCCCGGGGCTCTTTTGACTTCTGCAGATACCTAGTCTTCGCTAGGAATGTGACACACATTTATTCTCTTTTAAAGAGCACTATAATGAAAGAAGTATTTATTGGATAATGCTCTGGTCTTTAGCTCATTTCTACTTAGCTCAGTAATTATTGCACTGAAAAAATATTTTGGAACAGCAAGATTCATGTGAATAATTTTTGGCTGAGCTATAGCACTCCAAACAATTATCAATCTGTTTTTACTTTAGAAATTTTCTTATTTAAATTTCCTACATTCTTTGAAAAGTGTTAAACTATAATATTTTGGAGCTACTTGAGGATATCTAATAATTGATTTCCCAAATTAAATGTATATTTGTTTTCTTAAAAAGCAAGAAGAAGAAGAAATAGCTCCCCCAAACTACCTATCTGAACTTCTATGATCATACTGACTAATCATTGATAAAGTAAGAAAAAACATATTTATGATTTTAAAGGAACAGAATTCTGACCTACAATTTACCAAATAGGAAATTATATTTTATTCATAGCTACCAAATAGGAAATTATACTTTATTCATAGTGATTCTTTTCTTCACAAAAAATAAAATAAAATTTAACAAATCCACTTATTTTCTCTAACTACTAATGGGGATTTCACTTACCATTGGGTTTTTAAAGAATTCATATTTGGCATAATTTTTTCTAAAGTATAGTTTATTTTCTTCTTCCATTCCCCAGTTAGATAGCACTTCCATCACCAGCTCATGGTCTTCTATTGTTCTTTCTGTAAGGAATGTTTCAGTGAGTATGTCAACAGATAGATGCATGGATGGACAGATGAATGAATAGATAGACAAATAGGCAGGTAGAAAGAAATGTGTGTGGACACATGTATCCATACAAATATATAAAATATATTATGTATCTTTACTAAATACAGCAAATTTCAACTCAATTCTAGGATAGCCAGGTTGATAATATTTTCGGCAACTTTGAATTAGTAATGTTGATTTTTATACCAAAGCAGACTGTAACCTGAGGAGAAAAAATGACAAAATATCACAATGCACTTTTTGGTAATTCTCAATTCCTTTTATTGCCATGTAAATTATAATTAAGTTTGATTACAAATCTGCATTAAGAATTTAGGAGGTATTCTTTTTCTCCAGCTCATCGTGATGCCAAAATTAAAATATTTGCCTCAAGGTTGAACAATTCACCCTATTAAGAGATGAAAACTTTTGACAGGTGCAAAAATGCATTTGAGACACATAATCTGGATAGTTGAGAAAAATTAAAATAAATGTTTTATTTTAAAAAAAATGTTTTTCCAACGTTTATTTATTTTTGGGACAGAGAGAGACAGAGCATGAACGGGGGAGGGGCAGAGAGAGAGGGAGACACAGAATCGGAAACAGGCTCCAGGCTCCGAGCCATCAGCCCAGAGCCCGACGCGGGGCTCGAACTCACGGACCGCGAGATCGTGACCTGGCTGAAATCGGACGCTTAACCGACTGCGCCACCCAGGCGCCCCAAAATAAATGCTTTAAAAGGAAAAAATTTAATGCAAGTACATACAATTTCAAGAAACCTAATTTCTAGGGGCACTTTATGCTTTCAAAACTAATGTTTAGGCAACTATATTTTGTATTAACAATGAAGATAATTAGGTAGGGTGGGAAGGCACTTAGGAGGAAAGGTACTTAAATGAAATAGGCAGCGACAACTTTAAAGAGGTGAACATAACATACACAACTCGTATTTTAATAAGAAACCTGATGTCTATAGCAGTGCTATTCAAAGAGCCCCAAACTGAAAGCTACCCAATGCCTATCAGCCTGAGAATGAACAAATGAATAACTTGTGTAAATTTACACAGTGAAATACATACTACAACACACAACTGTATGGGTGAATTTCACAAACATGATATTAAATGAAAGAAGTCAGACACAAAGAATAGTACATAGTACATGACTACACTTACATGAAATTTGATACAGGCGAAATAAATCTGTGGTGTTAGAAATCAAGATAATAGGGATAGTGGGTGAGGGAGCAGGAGTATGACAGGAACCAGTGGGTATGGGAAATACTATTTCTTGTTCTGGGTGTTGGATATCCAAGTTTATATAACATTTGAGAGTTCATTGAGTTGTCCACATATGGCTTGTTCACTTTTCTTAAGGTATGTCATACCTCAATAACAGAAATAAAGAAACAACAATAAAGAAAAGTTACTGTGAAATTACTAATGTAAAACAGGAAGTGAAGAACAGCCAACTAAGGAATACAGAAACCCTCTGCTTTTTTTAGGTGCTTCTAGGACCTTTTTGGAAAGTATCGTGTCTCAGACATTCAACACTCAGTAGTGATCTGTGACCTACAACACCTGAACCCTTGAAAGTAAAGTCATACTTAAATGGAAGCTTATTCATCTGAAAGGAAATTCTCGTAAGAGCTCAATGAATATGGATGACTTCAAGTTAAGTGTGTATCAACACTCTGGGTTCTGTTCCTAACTCCAATGGCTCTTTTTCTGTCTCATTGACAAGCTTCCATGGTTCCTCCCTCCTAAGATGTCATCTTTGGCTCAAATTTTTTCTTTCCCTTTCTTAAACTAATTCACTCTCTTCTCTTCAGCCATCCCATCTGTCAAGTTCCTTGAGATGGAATCTCTGGCCACAGTTACTTTCACTCGTGCTCTAGTTCTAGCTGCTAGACTTTCCACCACCTCATACATAGTTTGTCTAAATCCAGAGTCAGTATGGTGATTCCCCCAAAATATTAATTCCAGCAATGCCAATTCTGAGTATGTAGCCAAAAGAAGCAAAAGCAGGGTGAGAACAGATATTTTTAAACTAATGTTCACAGTAGCATCCTTCACAAGAGGTGGAAACACTCTACTGCCCACCAACAGATGAATGGATAAACACGTACTACAAACATACAATGGGACACTTAGCCTTAAAAAGGAATGACACATGCTACAACAGGGATGGACCTAAAAGATATTATATGTAAAATAAGAATACACAAGAACAGATACTGCATGATTCCATTTATAGAATGGTACAAATAGACAAATTCATAAAGATGGGAAGTAGAATGGTGGTGGCCAGGGACTAGGGAGCAAGGAGTTATTATTTAATGGATTTGGAGTTTCACCATGAGAAGATAAAAATGTTCTGGAGAGGGACAGTGGCGATGGTTGCACAACAATATGAATGTATATAATGCCAATGAACTATGCTCTTAAAAATGGTAACTTTTATGTTATGTACATTTTATCAAAATAAAAAAAATAAACTTGAAAACAAAGTCTTCTTTTTTCTCTTTCAAACTGCTTTTTCCTAAATTCTCCTATCTCCATTGCGTCTTTATATCCACTCCCATGACCTCCACTTTTGCTATCCCCAGATACCAGAGATCTTCCCTCCAAGTGTCTCTCACACAACCAACAACCCCTCACTCATTCTCATGATCACAATCCCAATTTAGACCCTCACCTTTTCTTAACTAATCTCCAAACCTCTAGTTTCTTATTTTTGTAATCCAACCTGGACACTAATACTACAGCAAGCTTCATAAAACATATGTGTCAACGTGACCCTTGCTCAAAAAGCTTATCTACTTCCTACTTTCTATGGGATAAACCCATGGAGTCTAGCAGTTATACCATTCATTCATCCATCCATTTGGCAAATATTTCTTGAAGTCCTACCACGTGTCAGACATTCATCCTGGGGCTTGAAATTTTGTAGTGAATAAAACAGTCAAAAATCCCTGCCTCATGGAGTTTTCATTCTAATGAGAAGATACAGACTATAAATAAAATGCAACTCTTAAAAGGCAGGAATAAATACTACAAAGAAAAATAGAGCAGGGCATAGGAAAAGAGAAGGTCATAGGGGAAAGGAATTCATTTCAAGAGCTTGCCGGATAGATCTCGCTGAGAAGGTAATATTTGAACAAAGACCCAAAGGAGAAGGGGGCATGAGCCAAGCAGACACCTACAGGAAGAACAAGAACAAAGCCTTTGAGGCAAGAGCAACGTTCAGTGTTTGAAGTACAGCAAGGAGGTTAATGCGGCTGAAGCTGAGTGAGCAAAGAGGCAAGTACTAGGAGAAGAGGTTAGAGAAGCAATGGTGATGAGCTAGAAGGAGGCATAGGAAAGACCCTGCAGTTCATAGTGAAGCTCTGGCCTTTCCTTGGAGTTTGAGGAGAAGTCACTTTGAATAGAGAAATAACACGGACTGACTTATATTTTCATTGGATGTTGCATCGGCTGAGGAGGAGAGCTGATTTTAAAAGCTTCAACGTGGGGACATCTAGGTGGCTTAGTCGGTTGAGCCGCCTGACTCTTGATTTTGGCTCAGGTCATGTCTCACAGTTGTGAGACTGAGCCCCACATAGGGCTCTGTGCTGACAGCACAGTGTATGGATCCTGCTTAGGATTCTCTCTCTCTCTCTCTCTCTCTCTCTCTCTCTCTCTCTCTGCCCTTCCCCCACTCACATGTGTGCTCTCTCTCACTCTATCTTTCAAAATAAATAAAAAACTTTAAAAAAAAGACTTAAGGGTGGAAGCAGGAAGCACATTTAGTAGAATATTACAATTAATGAGCGGAGAGATGATACGGCTTGGATTAGAGTGGCAGCGGTGGAGATGTACAAAGCAGGCAGAATCTGGACATATTCTGAAGATAGAGCCAACAGGATTGGCTGACAAATCGGATAGGAAATGGAAAAGAGAGGGTAGTTAGGGGAGACACCAAGGTCCTCCACTCAAGCTCTTGGAAGGATTGTGTTGCTATCAATGAGTCTGAAAAACTATTAAGTGGGTTGGGAAAGTCAGCAGTCACTGAGATATCCCATGGGAAGTCACATCCCTAACAATCTCTCTATCCTTAATTTGGTCTCCTTCTCACACAAACCAGCTGATATTTTCAAGCTTATGAAACCCAGGTTCACATTAAAAATACTATTTGCTAAGCATGATATCCGTATTATTTGCAACTGCACAGGAAGAAAATTTCAATGTAGTCGGCAAAATGTTTGCTTGTTTGTTTTACCAACCTGTGTTTCTTTGTGCCCGTTGCCTCTCTCTACCACTGAAGAAACATCATATGTTCTGACCTCAAGCTACACTATACAGAGAGGAAAAAAAAATAAAGAAACGCATTTCCTCTACTTTTGAACTTCACAATAGACCTTACCAATCTTTGACAAATATAAGTGCTTGGGGAGAATCATGTCTAGCCAATCCTTGATTGCCTCATACAAGGATCCACCTTCTATCTTCTGGGAAAGGAGCTGTAGTTAAGGTGTTGGTGAAGAAAAGGACGGAGTAGAGACTGCGCTAGATAATAATAAGTGGATGGTATAGGTCCCAAGTGACCCTGTATCCTGTCCCCTTCCAGAATGAGAATGCTTTCAGGGTGATGAGTCGATGGTGATAAAACACCAGATAAGTTTAACGGTGGTATGTGGCTCAAACCAGAGGATAGCCTTAGGAGGCATCTCGTTTCCAATAGAAGCCTTACATCCAGCATGGTGGAGAAGCCATAACTGAGGGCAACATCAGGGCAGATGAGTCCATGGCATCCCACTCTGAAGAACGAGCATGGCAGTAGCACCACATCTCCAGCAGGTACAGGGAAGAGCTAAGACAAGAGTTCAGACTTAGGGGGCTGTATGGTTCAGTCAATAAGCTTGACAGGAACAGAACATGAACAGCTGGACAAGAGTTAGGCAAACACCTGTCCTGGGACTTAATGCCTCAGC